ATATATAAATGTATTATAAATGTATTATAATATGTATAATACATGATATAAATATATTTATAAATGTATAAGTGTATATTATTATAAATGTATAAATTACAAATGAATATTATACAAATTTATAAATTATAATTTTATTAATATATATTAATATTATGTATAAATGTATTAATATAATTAATATAAATGTACAAATGTATTAATATTATGTGTAAATGTAAAATAATATTATGTATATTAATATAAATGTATAAATGTATTATATTATATATAATACATAATATAAATGTATATTATAAATATACATTAATATATATTATGTATAAATGTACATTTATATAAATGTATAATATATATAATATATATAATATATATTACATATTATAATATATATAATATATAATATTCATATAAATATATTATAAATATATAAAAATATTTTTTAGTAAAATAAAATATTTATAATATGTATAAATAAATATATAAATATTTAATATATATAATATACAATAATATTAATTATAAATATTATAATATTATAAATATGGTGTTTATATAATATTTCAATTTGTAATATTTATTGTATATTTCATTATATAAATATTTATATAATATATAATATATAATTTTCAATTTGTATAATATACATAATATTGTATATATATAATATAATATAATATACATAATATACATTATTACATTATTACATATTATGTATATTATATATTATATATAACATTATTATACACAATAATGTACATAATAATATTATACATTAATAATATATATATTGTAATATAATGTACATAATATTATGTATAAATATTTACACATTTATGTATATAATATTACATATTATGTATATTATATTATATTATGTATAATATACAATATTATGTATAATATTAATGTATATAAATATTTATATAATAAAATATATATAATTTTCAATTTGTATAGTTCAATTTATATTAATATAATATATATATATATATATATATATATAATATACATAATTAAAATATACAAATTGAAATATACATATGTAGTTGTTTTTTATATAATGTTTGGATATGGTGTTTTTGGAGTTGTTTTGGAAATACACATTTACTGTAGCATTTGGAATGTGAAAAACAGTTTTTCAAAAACAGGGTCAAAAACAAGGGATCCAAACGAACCCGTTGTTATTTCATGAATCCATGTTCAACTGGGCGTGTTTTCTATTCATTCCAGCGCGCGTCGCGCGTCCAATGGCTTATATGCCTCCTAGTAGAAACTATAAGCCATTGAGGTTTACATAATAGCCCTAATAGGTAGTCAATTCATTGACTAGTGCCTTGTCTTCGAAGTCTGGTTTTGATAAGCACGAATGTACACTTTTCTATATCCGTGTACTAGTTTCGCAGGCAAAATTCATGTGTTAGTAAGGCATAAAACACATATTCATATTGTGTCATCTTTGATTCATAATATCGTCTTTTTTTTTTTTTTGCATTGTGATGTGTATAAAACAAAACTATCATTAGAAAAATAAAAAGATAATTAAATAATATTAACACGATATATATTTTTTTTTGGAAAATTAGGCATCCAAATACATTTAATATTTGTTCCATTAAATTTTCGTATCAGGTAAGGCAGCAAATTTTCGTATTATGATTTTAGTAATCATCAATGAATAATGATAAAAAGCCGTGGTGTTAGTGTTACGTTCATAATATAATAAAGATAATGTCGAGGTGTTTTGTAAAATTCAATGAATAATGATCAAAAGCTGCTGGTGTTACATCATCATAAATGAATCATTATACTTAATCTCCTTTACAATAAGTTGCCCGTTGACAATATTTTTTTTTTTTATCGCCCATTGACAATACAAAAAACTGTGAGTTATGAAAGGGACAATACGATGACCAAGTTAACACAAGTTGCGTAGCCAAATTTCCGAGATAAGATAGGTTTACGTAATCTCCTTTACGTCATTTTGCCTCTTCATTTCTGGCTAACAAAACTCGTTGTTATCTTGTATCTTTTACCACGTGTACTTAGCTCCGTTGTGTTCTAATTAATTTGAAAAGCGCACGCTCCAAATAAATATAGAATTAATTATATATATATATTACTTTTGAATTAATTAAATTCAAATTTTAATTACTTATCATGCATTCAACGGTGACAGTGTATATATTTTTTAAATTAATTAAATTTAAATTTTGATTAATTATCATGTATTCAACGGTAAATCGTGTATACACTGTCAGTATATATAAAATTAATCCATAAGCATAAAGGCACTACTAGTACACTAGCCATTGAGGATATTGCTAACGACAAGATTACAATTTCTTCTAATTACCAAGTCGTTTATTACAAGGAGACATTGAACGGTTTATGTGTGTCATGTGGTGCATTACTCTCAATAATTAATTGTCATTTAGCGATAGCTAGTCATACATTATATAATAATTGTGTAGTCTATTAAATAGGGTAAATTCCAGCACTGTTGCTTGATAATAAATTAATACACTACTTGACGTCATGCCTTATATAATTGTGTAGCCTATTAAATGACGTAACGTGCAGCACTATTTCTTCATAATAAATTAATTGTTCTAACACACCACGCGACAGATCACCATGTAATGAATGTAATTAACCGGTGGTCCAATATTTCCTGGTATCACTGTACATCCCTTAATATCTCTCATTTGCCTTTCCACTCCTGTTTTGTTCCATAGCCATCCAAGCCCCGGTTCGTTTGCACGTAGAAATCTTTTTCTTAAAAAACAAAAAAGCCTCTTGTGTTAAATTTAATATACATAAAAGCCCTATGATTTTAAAACGTACAAAACGACACCTCATACTTTGAACTAAATTGTAAAGGTAACAAAATCCGTTAAAATTGACGGAAATGACTTATTCGAATCTAAATTTTTTTTTATACCTAATGTTTAACAAATATACCTGTTTTACCCCTTAGCCCCTAATTCTCTCTGTAGAGAATAAAATAAATGATTTTGTTGAACTGTCTTTTGTTTAGTTATATAATGGCATTTTTGTCATTTCGTCAGTCCCCGTTAATTTTAACGAATTCCGTCATCTTTGCAATTTAGTTTATAATATGAGATGTCATGATGCACGTTTTGAAAAGCAAAACGTTTATAGTATTACGGGAGGCTTTTCTATATATTAGGTTTATCACATGGAATTTTTTTTTGTTTCTTACAAAAAAAAAAAAAAGATGAAAAAGCAATGAGAAATGTTTCGTTAACTTTCAAAAGATCAATTAGTCACATTTGTCGAGACAAAAGTTTCAAGAGATTTTTTTTCTCGGATCTAAGAATTTTTTAAAATCTATATGTTAGATCCGAAATTTCTTGGACCTTCTTATCAAATCTCTAACATTGATTTTGAATTTGAACCAATTGAATGGTAGATCTAAAGAATTAGGACGTGCACAGATATTTATGTAGCAGCTCTCGCGTAATTGGTCAAATCTAATGGTTTGTGATTCACAGTGTAATCATTCTTATTTTTTTAGTTTTGTTAAATTTAATGATTTTTCGGATTAAATATTTCTGTGACGTATTCTATATATTTTCCACCATTAATGTATTTTTTTGTCAAACAAATCATGCTAAATGATTTTTAACTAATTTATTAATAATATTGACTTCTATATTTTTTTTTATCAAAAACAAAATAAACCCCTCTCATGCAAAATCAAATTTAGACTGTCTGTCTAGCAAGCTAGGCATGCTCAAAGTAAAAACCAACTTAGACAAGTCCTCACCTGTATCCTTGACTTTATTCAACACATTCAGGCGGCTCATATTCCATTATTTCCATATGGATTTGAGAGGATATCATGCACCTTTATGATATCATATCCTACATGGCACTTACGTCTCAGCTACAATTAATTAATGATTTAATTAATGACTCGCAACTTGCGAGTCAAATAGTCCCACCTAGGATGGAGCTGAATCAAGTAGCTCGGCTCGGACTCGCGAGCTACTTGGTCAGCAGCTCGAGCTCGAGTTCGATTGACCAAACTCGATCTCGAGCTCGAGCCGCTCGTTAGAGCTATTGAGTCGAGTTTGAGCTTGGAAATATGATGCTCGAAAGCTCGACGAGTTCTATCGAGTTTTTACAATATATATTTTAATTTTTATTATTGTGAAATGTCAATAATATCATTTATTTAAAATTATATATAAAATATTAATTTTTATTACTTGAACTTGATTAGGCTTGATTGAGCTCGAATAAGTTCGATAGAGCTTGATTTGAATTAATTACATTTAATTAAACTCGAGCTCGAGTTTCATAAATTGATGTCGAGCTCGAGCTTAGTTATTTTGTCTCGAGTCGAGCTCGAGTAGCGCATTACTCGAGCTCAACTCGATTCGACAGCACCCTAAGTCACTCCCACCATATCAGTATCCTCGGTGACCCAGTGGTATTTGAGACGTGCAAACTTCACGTAGAAACAAAGGCCTTTCAACCTTGCTCCTCGAGCACATCATGAACCTTTATTTATTCATGATAAGGCTGCCACGGTTGCCTCGTTCGGCCTTTCTCTTGCTTGTTTGTAAACGGAAGAAAGATGAAGACAAAAGATTGTTGTGGTGATGGCACATCGATCGTGGTCATCCCTTATAGTATGATTTTCTCTCATTTATGACAAATCATTTGATAATTTAGGCAAATTAAAGTTCGTGTACGGTAAAAATTCGACTACAGTAAAATTTTTTAAAAATATCCTCAAAACAACTAATCAAACAACATGACAAGAAGGAACAAGGTCGGACAGCTAAAGAGCTGAATTGGATTATTAGGCCTCCAAACTAAACTGGCCCGATCGATAAGTTCCTGTATATTAGACCCACTCAATTTCAACATATGTTGCCTGGAGCCCAAATCTAATAGTTGCCTGTCTATTTGGGCCTTTGGATCCATATACTTGAATCCTGCGGCATCTGCCACTTGCCTTCACCTTGGTACTCCACGTGTCATCCTCTCCATTTCTCTTCTGCCGACTCCATTTTCGTCCACTTCCAGTTCTTTCTTCCACTGAGTCAAACTCGACTCAACTCACCCCCCCCCCTCTCTCTTTCTTGCCACCCTGCAACCATTAAGCCTTGCCGAATTTTCTACCGTTCCATTTCCGGTCGGTTCTCAATTTCTCATTTACTAGCCACTTCTACTTTCCCGTCTAGTACCATGTCTTCAACCACCGCCGGAGCTTTTCCTCCACGAGCACCGCAGCAGCGAAAAATGACGAAGCTGAAACTCTACGGCGCAACCGAATCCTGTCGAGCAAGCTCTACTTCGACGTTCCCCCTTCTAAAGTAACCCTAGAATTACTTAGTCCTAACAAATTTCCCAATTATATGTGCTAATTTGCTTAATTTTTGACATAAGAAAGTTCTCATGCTTTTGTTACGATTTAAACCTTTTTTTTTTTTTTTTGATAAATTGAATCTGGAACAGGTTCCTCTGATATACTCGCCTTCATACGACATTGCCTTCCTCGGTATAGAAAAGTTGTAAGTTCTCTCCAGGCACGCTGCTGCAAACTTGCAGTTTTTCCTATTGTTGGGGTGGATTTTGGGAGGGGAGAGGGTGAATTTGATAGTTATACACTGTTTTTAGTTGTATATTTTAGGTCCAATTCATTAAAAATGCAGAGGCAGCTGATTGTCGGAAAGAAAGTATGGGATCATGAAAGATGGAGTAGGAAATTAATTGCCAGTCATACTAACCAGAAAAGCCATAACTGAGAATTAAAGCAGATAACGTACTTGATGCCCCGAGATGGGCGTGCTTTAGTTACTGCAGATTTACTCTATAATCAGATTGTCATTGTTCTTCACCATTGCTCACTGACTCACTGTACTAAAATTATGTTTTGGTTATGCAAATATAGGCATCCTTTTGATTCTTCTAAATGGGGCCGTATCTGTCAGTTCCTTATTGTGGCCGGTCTTCTGGAGAAAAAGCGCATAGTTGAGCCTCTGGAGTCTACCAAAGATGATCTCCTAGTGGTAACATCTGCTTCTCTAATCGAGACTTCATCTGACATTTTATTGGTACTTGTACCTATTGTAGCTAGATGGTCATCAAAGTAACTCATTTGGTATAAATCATCTATCTATCTTGCACCAATCCAAAACTTTTGATTATACTCTTCTTACATGTGAATAGCTTGCTTCTATCCAGTCAAGTTTCATTCTTGGGTAATTTGATTGTTACGTGGAGGATTGTATCTCAATTTGCTGCTACTGCAGGAGGACTTCAAATATTCTTAGCTAGCTATTATATGTGATAGGTGCATCCAGAATCATACTTGAATAGCCTAAAGAGCAGCTCAAATGTCGCCATCATTGTTGAGGTGAGGTTTGCCATGCTGTCGTTATTTGTTATGTGATTTCTAATGTACTTTTCTGGCAAATGATAGCTATGGTAATCAAATTTATGGATAACCCTTTAGGTTCTGATCACTTGATCATTTGATGTATGGCGTTAGGTCCCCCCTGTTGCTGTATTGCCCAATTGTGTTGTGCAGCAGAAAGTTCTTCTCCTTTTCGCAAGCAGGTGAGATTAACTATGTCGCTTCATTTTCTTCTTGTTTTGGTTCTAAAAGTTAATGCTAAATGTAACTCTAGGTTGGAGAACTATATTGGCTGCAAAGCTTGCTAAAGAACGTGGATGGGCTATCAATGTTGGGGTGGGTTCCATCATTGTTCGGCTGCTAAAGGAGGTGGATTTTGTGCTTATGCAGACATTTCTCTTTGCATACATTTTGCCTTTGCCCGTCTAAATATTTCAAGGTAATATGCATACATCAGATGCTTTTTTTATGGATTTAGCAATGGGCAGGCTCTTCATGGTCAGATGCTTCCCTTGCTCATTAATTGTAACAATCAACAGGGTGATGATTATTGATCTTGATGCACACCAAGGAAATGGGCATGAATTGGACTTTTCTAGTGACAGTATGACCTTGAACCTAACTCCTGGCCTCGTTTTGCTTTCATGATATTGATTGGTCTTCTGTCATACTGGCAGGAAGAGTTTATATTCTTGATATGTACAACCCTCATATTTATCCCTTTGTAAGTCATCTTCTCAATCTCGTTTGTATTTATAGCAATCACATTTGCTGGTTTATATACAATTGGTATTTTGTTTGGGATTTTCCTCTCACCTATTCCTTTTTTTTCCTATTTTTTTGTTCAAATTTACATCCACCAAGTGGTGATATCAGAACGACACAAAAGAGATACTTGTGTCATGATGGGCATTCTGTCTGAGCCATTAATTTTCTCTTCATTGTTGTGTAGGACTATGAAGCCAGGAGGTATATTGATCAGAAAATTGAAGTGCCGGTCAGAATGAGATTTTATTAGCTGAGGTTTGTTGATTTGGATTCTTTCAAGTTTTCAAGTTGGATGACATCCTTTTACATTTTTTAAACAGACTGGGACATTAACAAGCGATTACTTGTCAAAACTAGATGAAGCTCTTGAGGTATATAAATCTGTCATTTCCAATCTTGTATTTTTTGTCCATTGAGTTGTAGAAAATCTTCTCAAGTTCCTTTCCTTTTCTTTAAGTACAGATATGAACTCCAATATTACAGTTTCAAGTCTTTAATGGAAAAAGAAAAGCAGATACTGAAATTCTCCTTGAGAAAGATGACCTGCATGGCTGCATGCAGTTTGACATATGCATAATGTATTTTCTTATTTCCTGAATGCTTCTGCAAAAGTAAAAATCGACGTTCTGTTCTGCTAAATGCGTTCACAAGTGTTGCCAACAAGCATTATTGGTGGCAGCATTTCTAAAGGGGGTTTATATGAATTATTGTTCCCTCCATCTTTCAAATTGGTTCTCATATGTTGGTGGAGTACAATCCTTTTATGTGCAACTACAGAGAGAGAGAGAGAGAGAGAGAGAGAGAGAGAGAGAGATGGCAAGTTCTTGCTGAAGTTGATACGAAGGCCAAGGCCATTTACCTTGATGTCCAACTTCGCCTGAATTTTCTTCAAGAATTATATTTAGGCACACCAGCTGATTTGAATTTGTTTCTTGTAGTCCTTGATGTTAATCTTTATGATTCGCTTTTCACATATAGTTACATTTTGGTGGAAAAGTTAGGGGAGTTCATCTCTGCAACATGGGTTTTCATCTATAAGTTGCATGTAATGTTCTATTTTTCCCTTATTCAGTAAAATGCTCATTGATGACTTGCTTCTGGACTAGCAACATTGTTGTTCTTGGTCCAGCTGTAATTTGGTGGCTTGATATATTGCATTTCTAGCTACATTATTACATATTGTAAATTTTACCATCTGCATTGAAGTTTTATGGTTTTGATATCAAATTAGTCGTGTCGATTGTTCATCTGTTGATATAAATAGTGCCTTATTTGGTACTTTCTAGGTTGCTTCACGGAATTTTAGTCCCGAGTTGATTGTGTACAATGCTGGCACTGATATTCTGGACGGAGATCCTCTGGGCAGGTTGAAGGTATTTCTTTTGGTTTGGTTCTTTGGTTGTCATATATCTGTCTGGGAAATTATTAAAATCTAACTGGGACACTGTCAAATTCGCTTTCCTTTTGTCATGTGTGTGTCAAAGCAAAAGAAGACAGAAAGCAAACGTAACGCTGCTGATGAAGATTTCATGAATGTTAACTATCAAATGCATGTCTTTGCAGATCAGCCCGGAGGGAATTGCCACAAGGGATGAAAAGGTGTTTAGTTTTGCTCGTGAGAGGAGCATACCTCTTGTCATGCTTACATCAGGTAATTGCTTATGAACCTTACCCTACAGGATTTAGGACCCCTTTCTTTTTACTGTCCACAACGCGTTTATCTTATGCAACTTTATTGCATTTTTAGGTGGTTATATGAAATCCAGTGCAAGAGTGATTGCAGATTCAATTATCAACCTCTCCAAGAAGTCCTTGATAGATCTGCAGAGTTCACCAGGGAAAATTTAACTGCCATAGAGTCCTTTTTGTGCTCCTATTACTTAAAAAAAAAAAAATTGTTTACTACTGGAAATCAAAATAGGTTCCTCATTTTTTCTTTGGTATGCTAGTCATAGTACACCTGGAAAACGAAAAGAATAGTCTGTAGATATAGGAGAAAGTAGAAAAATGCCATCGATGTCATCATCTCCTCTCTCTCTCTCTCTCTCTCTCTGGGGTGATATGTAGACAGGCTACAAGTCTAATACAAAGCTGTACTGCTGTACTTTGGAGTGGCTGTAAGGAAGCAAGATCAAGAGATGCAAGCTGAAAGTTTCTCGGGTTAAACAGTGTAGAGCTTTCAATGAAGTGGCAACTTGCTCCTGGAATTCATTGCAAAGGTCCAGTCTCGTTCAGACAAGAGTATCAGATTCTTCTGTCAGCCATGAAATGCTGAGCTGAAATGGTTCTATCAGCCATGTAATATATGCGTCACATGAATCTTTTTACGCTGTTGAGTTCTCAAGTCTTTCTGTCTGGGACTGGGAGTGAGCCACTTAATCCTCCTCTCAATGACCAAGAAACCATTCGGAACGAGAGCATTCGGCAAGAATACGTTGCTGTAATTCCAATTACGACAATATAAATTGGTTACTTCTAAATTATCTTGAAAATTCAAAAAATTTCACGATAGGGGTTTGTTTTGCAATTAGATCAGTGGTACGCAATTTGGAAAATATACAATGGATGCTTGTTAATTGCTAATAATTTAAAATAACTCTCACTATATTAAGGATATAATGTGTGACTATGACTTTATTTGATAATTTAATTTTAGCACTTAAATTTAATGGATTCAGCTGTTAACAGGTCATATTTATAATTTAATTTAATATTTAAAATTAATGGATTCAGACGTTAATATTGTTCAATTATATTTGATAACAAAAAAAATAAAAATCGTAATAAACTAAATGGCTTTAAATTATTTAGGCAAAACTTATTCAAAAAAATAAGTGATACTTTGTTCACTCATCGCTTAATTTAAAATATTGTTTACTTATCACTTAATACAAAATATGCTTAAATGATTTCACTATTTGACAATTTAGTAGCTTAATAAATTTAAATATTAGATTTCAAACTTTAGTATCTTAATGATTTCACTTATGTGTCTAGGGATTAAGGGTCATTACAACAAATTTCAATTTCACTTATGTGTCTAAAGGATTAAGGATCATTACGACAAATTTCAGATTTTGGTCCTTTTTTGTAACGTTATCAATAGGTAGACTTTAGAAGCATTTAAAGTTCATTCTAGAATCTTCTAGTAAGAGGGACGTTTCAAACAATAATAATACTCAAAATTCATCTCTGGCTTACTTCTAATCTCAAGCTATTTTTACGAAAAACCAAAAATTACGTAGGTAGTTGCATGATATGAAGGTAGCTAACAGTATCCCCAACCAATATTATTGTTAGTTTTTCCCTTAATCTGCACCAAAACTCTGCAAAGGTATTGTAATCGTTGTTTGATTTCCAGGGCTCCGCTAACATGTTAATTTTCTTTTTCTGTCTCTTCCCCAATTTTCCAATTCAATTTGAGCGCTGGCATTGATTTTGTGCATGTGGGCTTGTACAATTTTGTACCTTGACGTGCATCTGCATGTGCATGCGAGTTTCTGAAGTTTTCTTGATCTTGCAGTATCGTTCTCGCAGTTCTTGATAGACATATTTGGTTAAGAGTAAGAAGGCGGCATCAATCATCATAATGTTGGTAGAGTTAAAAGACCGGCTTACCCAAGCCATTCGGGATATGAAGAATTCTACTGTTGTGGATGAGAGCGTAGTGAATGAATGTCTCAATGAGATCACCCGGGCACTTCTTCGAGGTGATGTGCCCTTTCATTTAGTTAAGGAATTGGTGAACAATGTCAAGAAGAGTGCCAATCTCAACAATCTGCCATCAGGGATCAATAAGCGCAAAATTCTTGAAGAGGTATTCTTTTTCTTGGTTTAATTTTCCGTGCTTTTGTTATTTTATTGACTGCATGCAGTTCATTTGACTTGGCTAACGCCCACATCAAGTTTGAAATATGTGAAAATTTAGGAGGTAGAAGCAAAATTAAGTATGGTGAATGTTTTGTTGCCTGATTTCGCAGCTGGTTGTATAGGAGGTTATTGGTTGAGAGAGATAAGCAGTTTATTGGTTGATTGATTTCTATTTTTTCGGGGTTACAAGCTTACAACTTTCCATTGCTCTTTGGTAGATGATCATGAGACTGCCTGGTAAATAGTAGTACTGACCTGGGGAATGTGTGTATGCCCCTGATTGAAATCAAAACAATAAATAGGCACTCTTAATAGCCTACTTGCAAGATTCTATTTTGGTACATCCTTTGTGAAAAGGCCAGATAGGGTCTTATCTCAAGTTTTCTCTACTGCAAATTTATGATTCAAGGTCTACAATTTTCTATACATCTGCCTAAATTCCGGCAAAGAGCATATCATGCTTGCTTCTTATTTCATGCACTATTTCATCTTTGACTGCCACAATCTCTTCAATTTTGTGCAGAGCATATTTAGTGAGCTGTGCAACATGTTAAATCCGGGAAAACCATCTTTTACCCCGCGAAAGGGGAAAACTAGTGTTGTGATGTTTGTTGGTTTACAAGGTATGGTTCTCTTCAATATATTGCTAATTCAGTATAGTATCTATGTCTCTGTTTATATGGTATGGGTAACACCTGTGAAATAATTAGTGTTGGATCTGTGTTTTTTTTCCTGTCAAACCTAGTTTGCCTATTTTTCAACGTTCACGATTTAAATTTCAGGAACAGGGAAGACCTCCACGTGTGCCAAATATGCCTATTATCATCAGAAGAAGGGATGGAAACCAGCATTGATCTGTGCTGATACATTCAGAGATGGTGCTCTTGACCAGTTAAAACAAGATGCTGTGAAAGTAAATACCTTTATTATGGAAGGTAACTGAAACTTTGAATGCATAATTTTGCAGTCAAATAGATGCCTAGGACATAACGCAGCCAAAATGGCATTACGAATTCTAGTGTTTTACAATTTGTCATCATGCGTCCCTAGTTTGTTAAAGTTTAATAAATTTGTTGTGCAGTTTCATAAAATAAAAAGTTGATCATCCTTTGAGGGGCTTACAACCAGCAAAGCAATTGTGATGAATTCTTCAAGCTATATAGTTGCTGATAGTTTTTGCTGAAAAAACTTGAAATAGTAAATAGTTACACAGCAGTTTCAATTTAGATTATGACTTTTTTCCCTCGTGCAGCTTTTAGAAGGACTCTGATCATGTTTGTTTCATTCCTTCAGTGGACTATTGCTGATCTTGAAGTTCATTTCATAGGAATTTGTAAGTTGCAATAATTACCCTTTTCTTTTTTGCCTAAACAGTTCCACAGAGTCAGATCCTACAGAAGTTGCTTTGGAAGGACTGAAACGGTTCAAGAATGAAAACCGTGATCTGATCATTATTGATACAAGTGGTCGTCACAAACAAGAGGTCGCACTTCTTGAAGAGATGCGTCAACTGTATGAGGCAACGGTAACTTCAAGATTATGAGTCCAATTGAGTGCAAGCTTAAATGTCTTTAGTTGTAATTTTAAAGCCTTTCCGGTAACGTTCCAGAAACCAGATCTCGTGGTGTTTCTGATTGATAGTAGCATTGGTCAAGCAGCATTTGATCAAGCTCGAGCTTTCAAACAGAGTGTCTCTGTTGGAGCTGTGATTGTCACTAAATTCGATGGTCATGCTAAGGGAGGGGGTGCTATCAGTGCGTAAGTATGGTAGCCAAGTTAGATGTTTCTTGCTTATATTGTTTCTTTGCCTCATCTATGAGTTGCATTATATGCTCCTTCAACTTAACGTTATCTCAGTTGCATTTCCTTTTCTCGATTCTTTCTTTCTCTTCATTTAGATGCATGTGATGAGCTGTTGTTGAAGGTTAATAGCCATTTTTTTTTCCTGTTTAGTGCATGTGTAGGGATTGCTTCATTCGTAGTTTACACTAGTAGAGGAGCAATTTAGACTTCTGTTTCTCATGAACAATGATGATTGGATTACCACATGAATCCGGCGTATATGGTATGCAAGTATATACATGAGGGCAAAGTATACCTAAAAACTTTAAACAATTTAAAAATATCCTAGGCGTATATTGCAATAGATTATCTGCATGTTCTTTGCTTGGCCTCTATCACTTATTTGCTCAGACTCTCCCTGCTTTTCCAGCCCCAAATTCTGGAAGAGTTAAAAAAGGAAGGTTGAGAAGGAAAAGATCTCTGTGCAGCTGCCCCTAATCATCTCCTTAATGAACAGATAGGAAAACTTAGTCATGACTTTATCTTTATGTCAGACATCACCTTCGATAATGCAAAGCTACAAAGTTCAAGCTTCTGTTCATCCCAACCATAAATGAATAATAAGAAAAACATCAATATTCTGATCTAGGCATCTAAATATATTATTGCCAATGTTATAAGCATGGTTTGCCATCTCAGTCGAATTATAACCGGAACGTAGGGGACGGTACTATACCGATTCTTGAATCATGGATAATTCCATATTCGCGGTAATTCATTTTGACTCGACTGATATTGGCTGATTCGAATATGTGATGCATGGAATTGGTCAAAATATCCGAGTCTATTCGGAGTCGATTCGGATATTTTTTTTTTTCAGATTGTGCATTTTTGGTATTTTCTATTTTTAATAAATTTTACAAATTTTTTTGAAAATTTTTATATGCTATAATGTGCGTATCACCCGATATCCAATCGATATGTCGCGACGGATGTGAAACAACCGCAACCGCGACGTGATGGTGACCCGCCACAACGAACCATATCGATTGGTTATAAGGATTTGAATTTCTACTCTTTGTTCTCTTGCTTAGGCTTTCTTTGATATCTGTGATTCATTTCATTCAGTTTATTCATTGTAAGGATTCCTGTTTGATATCTCACCTTATGTGCTACAGTGTGGCAGCAACAAAATGTCCTGTCATATTCATAGGAAACGGAGAGCAGCTGGATAAGTTTGAGGCTTTCAATGCCAAGGCTTTTGTTTGTCGTCTCCTAGGTAACTATATCTATATTACTTAATAATGCATATTTCCACTGAGATATTTGATCATTCTGGTTTCTCATCCCATAAACATTTCAAGTTCTGCACTTATTTTCTTCGCAATTACAATCAGGTAAGCATCATCCAGCTGAGCTAGTGGACAGATTTCGGGACTCCGTGTCTCTGGATGAACAGGCTGCCTTGTGCCAAATGTTTACTGATGGGAAAACTTTACCTTCAAAAAGTATCAGGCTGTTGTAAGGCACAATTACAAGGTATGGATGCGTCAGGTTGCTTGCATTCGTAGTTGTATCATAATATCTGAGATCACCCTTCTATTACCGTCCAGATGGGTCCTTTATTGTTAAGTCAAGTCCGGGATTTGCAGCCAAATGTCCAGGAAAACGTGAAACCAGAACAAATGAAGAAATATCTGATCATGATGGATTCACTAACCAGTGAAGGCAAGTAATTTTTAATCTACTGCATTCTTTCAAGCTTATTTGGGCTTCATGATCGAAAGGTTATAGTTTCATATTACAGAATTAAACAGCTCAAACCCAAAGATTATGAAGGAATCTCGGATCAGGCGCATAGCACAAGGCTCTGGTTGCCATGTAGGAGATGTTATGAAGATGTTGGAGCATTACAAGCAACTCGCAAACATGTGCACCAGAAGAAAAATGGATAATATGGCTCGAATGATTTCAAGAGGCCGGATGCCATCAGGCGCCGGCATGAGTGGTGATCTCATGAATATGTTCCGACAGCTGAGTTCATCAGCAGGCATGGCCAGAATGCTCAGCGAAGCGATTTAGGCAAATCTTCCGCAATATTTAATGGTCCACCAAACCACAGTGAGTGGTGGTTGAAAAATGAGTTAATGGTGATTGCAGACCATTAAACGAGCAACCTTACAAATAATTCATCTAGTTCTTTAATGGTAGTTGTTTTTTTTTTTTTAAATTTTAATTCAAGAAGGAAAATAAATAAAGAAATTGTGTAATTATGACGGATTTAAAGGAGAAACTCACATAGTACATCATTGAGTTCATAATCAAAATAAGTAGTGCTCATTAGTGCTTTGAAAGTTATAAATAATAGCATTGAAAGCAAAATTATACTCCTCTTTTTTTTTTTTTCCTAGAAGGAAGACTCGAGATGTGGTACAAAAGAAAGAGTAATAAAGAGAAGAATTTGATAATGAAACTAAAAATTGTACGATGACTTGATTAATATTGGTCTGAAAAATAAATCGAATATTATATTAAAAACTGAAAATACATCCTACCTGACATTTGTACATTCGTATTTATTATTTGCGAGGTCGGAGTCTCCCGTCCAATCCGTCCTGAATTCCTGGTCAAACAAAATAAACATATATGGAGTCCCTTTCGAAACACTTAAAAAGAAAAAGGAAAAAATTTACAAAAAAGTAGCCATCCGATCCGATGGTCCTCTAGAGTTAATAACCTCACGTGACCGAGACGCATCGCCAACAAAACATCCCTTCCTGGTGTCGTCTTCTGTCTTCCTAATCTAATTATTTACAACCTACACACACAAACAGTATTTTGTTTTGCACGCAAACAAATGTAAATTGTTAAGCTCTTAAATTAACAAATCCCAATAGAAATAATTTATGGATTATTTAAGAGATGCAATAATGGCTACAAATTAAGAGGGCCAGTGTTTTTTTTTTTTTTTTTTTTTGGATTAGCAAAATTGCAGTATCCAAAAAGTGTTCATTCAATAAAGTAATAAATTAGGGATGTCAACGGTTTGGATCTGGATCCGGACCCGGATCGGACCCCCAATATTTTTCGAGTACGGATAAGTATATAGATCTGCAACCCGGACCCATTTTATCTAATAAATTTACGGATTGAATACGGAATATACCATTTGTGAACTCTGGAGGGTCTGTGAGGGATATGCAGAGGGCTCAAAAGGAAAATTGGGCACTTTTGGGGTCCGTTTGTTTCGGGTGAAAATGTTTTCCAGGAAAATATTTTCCTAATTTCCCGTGTTTGGTTGCACAAAAGCTACTGAAAACATTTTCCTATGTAAAATATTTTCACTCATCTTATGGAAAACAACTTCCCTTCCTAACTTCCTGAAGTTGTTTTCCGAAATGCATACATCTTGCCTGTAGTATGTTCCAAACTTACTGAAATCATCTTGCAGTATGTTCCTTTTTTTTTTAGTGTAAACAAGAAGACTCGAACCCAATACCTCTTCCTTATACTCCCTCCCCCGTACCACCCAACCCTTCCACTAGTATATTCAAAATAAAAAAAAACCTCATCCTACTCATCCTATGCTAGTAATTAATTATGTATAATAGGGACATTCTTTTCTAGAGAAACTTTCAGCAGTGAGAGTGCAAGATATATGTCACAATAAGCATTGCATGTGATTGATATTTGACACTAAATGGCCAGCAATTTATTTATTTGCTTAAGGAGATATTTTTTATTCATATATACCTTTCTCCAAGATTTTTTAAAGTTAAACAATGAGATAAATTTTCTTATTTTGCATGGGAAGAAGTATGTAGTTATAATGTGTAGAAAGTAAAGATAGAGATAAAAGTGAAAATATTTCAAAAGTTAAACAAACACCAGAAAAATGAAGTAAGAAAATATTTTCAATAAGCTAACCAAACACCTGAAAATGATGAAAGGGAAATGATTTTCATGGAAAATTACTTCCACGGAAAATATTTTCCCAAGGAAAACATTTTACTTCCAACCAAACAGACCCTTGGTTCATTTTTCCTTTTGGGTTCTTTATCTGATTTTTCTCATGCAGCAAGCAACTGCAGCCATGGCGGTTTTAGCCTGTCTTGATGTCAGACTCCAATATGAGCCTCCACTTTTCGCTCTTCAAGCTTTAATAATGAACCCACAACCTCATAGAATTTTTCTTATTCTTTTTGCTCAATTTTCAGCTATATTCCGGATCTGTAGCTGGGAACCTTCCTTTTGAAACAGAAGCAAGCAAGCCTCCATTCTGGTATTTTGCCTTTTTCCGGGTAGGCCCGACCTGGATTCGGGACCCATCGGGTGCGGGTCCGATAGAGAGATTAGGAGACCCGTTGGGTATTTGGATCGGGTCCGGAATTAATACAGCATGACGGATCCAAATTCGAATTTATTAATTTCGACCCGAACTCGACCCGTTGACAAGTCTATAATAAATGTTAGTTTATGTATAATTTATACTTACGAAAATCACTATCTATGATTCTATGTAAGTTTGTTTAAAGAAAAAAAGTAACTAATTATGCTTTCAAAAAAAAAGTTGTTTAGGCACTCATTAGCACTCACCCTTAACCTACTACTATATAACTACATACATTAATAATTATTATATTTTCCTGCATTTATATGTACTACACATTCTATTTAATTGTAACTTGATCAAAATACACTTGAACTCTATCTTATGGACGCTTCTTAGACAAGGTAAATTTTTTTTTTTTTCAAAAGATAAGATTAATTGAAAAAAATATATAAATACAATGAAAAATAATATTTATTAGCATATGTGTGCGTGTCTATATATATTTTCGGTGGAATTTTGGTGTGTGAATAAGTGCATATTGAGTATTCAGTAGAAAAATTTACAAAAAAGAAATGATAAAAGGTTATTAAATAATCAAATGTATAACGCTGATAGAAATGTGAATATTTAATGCATAACTCCAGTCAACTGGTTACTCTCTCGCTCTCTCTCTCTATAAATTTAATTTGGGAGTGGAGCAAGAGGTTGCGCACAGGTCAGTAACAGAGATAGAGTGCCACTCGCCCGTCACCACCCGAAAAGATTCACCAATATTCGTACTCTACGTCGCGTGTTTTTTTTCCACATTTACCAATTTAAGTATTACGACACGGAAACCTGGACAGCGACAGACCGACACCGTTTTGGCATTTTCCGGCAGTTACCAGTGCTCTACTATAGGTTGATACTGCTCCCCTTTCCGTCAATTTCTATTTCGTGCACAGATCTTGCTAACCTGCGCGGGGGGGCCAGCGTAGCCTACGCCGGCGCCGTGCAGTGGCCGTCGCGGTCGCAAAATCCAAATGACTATTAGAAGGAGGAGAAGATCCGCATCTGCGTCGTCTGCGTCATCCTTGTCATCCGCATTCTCTTCTTCTTCTCCTCCGAGGTGTCGGTTCTGGCGGTTTTGTCTTCGCTCTTGATTTTGTTTGCTCTGGGTGTACTAATTGCTTCGCCGCTCTCGTCGGCGGCGAGCTTCGATGTTGGTAATGGGAATGTCTCTGTTGAGTTGAATGCGACGATTGAGAATAGTGTTAATAGTAGTGATAGTACCAATGGCACTAGGAATCAGGCTAAGGAAGATAGTTTTGCCGACATGATCGATCGAGCACTCGAGAAAGAGTTCACTGAAAGTGAAGATCAGAATGAAGGTAACTTATCCCAGATCTGAGTGGATTTATTTTTTTTTATTTTGTAATTATTTTGTTTACGTATTTAATAGTCTGGTTTTTTTTTTTTTGTATCGATTTTTGTTTCCTATTGCGCATTTTAGCAATGATTTGACCTAGGGTTTGAATTTTGATTAAGCTCCTATCACATTGTTCTGGTTTGAATGGAGAATAATTTGGTTTCAAATATAAAAAATTGCTGGTTGAGAGGTGAAAAATTGGATGCTCAGCTGATTGGTAATTAGGGGAGTTTTGATTTGGAATCTCATGGATGCCTCTCCTCGGATAAATCTGAGAAATTAGATGATGGATTAGTCAAACTTAGGAATCCAGTTGGAATTCTATATATTAGGAAGAATGCTGTATGTTTCGAGCAGTGAGCTAGACTTTGATCTTAAAATTCTCAAGGATTGACGAAAGGAGTGAATTGGAGATGGTCAGAATGTTCATCATGGCTCCTGCACGCTAGATGCCTGTCATGGTTGGTTACAGAAGAGGAATCCAAAACTTCTGAAAAATAGGAAAAGCCTGTTGGACCAGTAATTTTGCATAATTCCTGTTGTCTAGGTTGATCTGAATTAGAACACTGGTCCCTCATAATTTGGATCAATGTTATCAGCAACCAATAGACACCTAGTGGATTTGGAATTTCACTTCACCATTGTGGTTCGTTAGTGAACTGTCAATGCCATTATTGGTGTTCCAAACGCAATGTTGAAACTACCTCGTGCATATACGATCTCTGTTTTTAATTAACTGTTGAAGTAACTGGTATATATTTGTCCTTTTCTTTATATTTGAAAAATATTTTACACTAGTCATAAAAGAGATGAGCCTAACTAGATACTGAGTATATTCAACTACTTTCTTGTCAAATGTGTACCTAACAAGTTAGGCTTCTATGTTCTTGATTTCATTCCGTCTTCCAGAACTATTCTTGTGTTAATCAAGATTGCATTTTCTTATGAGTTCCTTCCTGAATCCACCTCCCTTACCCAAAAATAAACCAAAAAAGAAAAAATGGAAGAAGCTACCAGCTCTTTCTCTTCTCTCTCTCTCTCTCAATTTTCTTTAAGGTATGACACTGTCAGTAGCTATTCAATTATAGTATGTAGTTCGATCACCTTTTGTGTATCTTATAGATGGATATGGTATGCCCAGTCTTGTTGAACCATTGCCTAATTTTGGACTTGCATTAATTTTGCAGCAAATGATGCTGGTAGCTTCAATAACAGCGTTGCAGAGCAGCAGGTACATGCTGTTACTAAGTCATGGTTTTTGGAACTTTTCAAGCTTTTGCTTTAAAAAAATCTAGTTTGGTATGATAGTATGCTAGCCTATAAATATTATAAGCTTGTAAATGGATAGAGTATATTTCCTTTCAGCATGCATGCGTTCACATAGTTGGGTTTTGGGGTACTTCTTATCATGAGTGTTATTGATGTCAGGCATGATCTGACGGAGTG